AGATTTTGATACGTGGCGTCGACCGGAAGTATCCTAGCCGTCCCGCACACCCTTACTTGCGGCATCTATCGGATGCATCCTGACCACCCTTCACCAACCACTACCAACTGCCGCCACCTACTCCCAACTACTCCTCTCAGGCAATTCCAACTATAAAAAGGGGCTCCCACATTGAGGTAAGGACACACTCGAACTTAAGCTCTAAGTCTCCTCTCTTGCATGGTCCAACTCCTCACAGCTCTCGGCTAACTTGACCGTCGAAGTCTCTGCCCCTATGACAACTCTTAGGGCCTTTGATATCTTCTTTCCCTCAACAAGTTGAACCAGTCGGCCTCGGATGCTAGAAATTACATTGTTGCCCTTGACTCCATATTTGGTAACAACAATTTCCATTCGACAAAAAAATCACAAATTCACTTTGAATGTGAGAAAAATGTTAAAAAATGAATAAGAATAAAGAAAAAGGAAAGGAAATCAATAGATTCTCCTTGCAGCGATAACGAAAAAAATTAACAAAGGGGTGCAATCCAACTGAGCCAAGCCAAATTTCTTTTGCTTGGTTCGAATAAAAAATTATTAGGCTGAAGTTCGAGACTAATTAAATATTTGATGAGTTCAAGTTCGAGTCAAAAGCTTGAAAATGAATATATTTGATATTTTATAAATATATGTGATACATTTTTTATAAATATATATTATATGTATGTATGTATGTATGTATGTATGTATGTATGTATGTATGTATGTATTAATCTAGTCAAGCTTATGAGATTTTAAGCCTCATTTTTTTTTATCGGCCAAACTCAAGTTTGAAAAACTAATTGAACTTACCTTGAGATTCAAACTCAATTATAATTGAATTTGAATCAGGTTTAATCAAACTTGAACCAAGGCTATTAGAGCTCGGTTTGATTTCAACCTTTATCTTACAGTCCTTCTCTTATAGAAGGAGCAATGAGGCTTCCTAGGATTACCTGGCAATTTAAAATAGAATTTCTACCCCTTTCCAAAGCTTGAAGATGAAAGGGAGGTCTGCAATCATTAATGGCATTCACCAAGCTCTTGGGTTTGGTTTGCAAGACTTCCCTTTTTTGTTTAGTATCTCATAACTTTCAAATTCTATTTGTTTTCACTTTTTCTTTCTTTTTAATTTAAAAAATTTATTATAAAACATAATGAGCCATTTAATTTTCCTACACATGCGAACCAGAGTGCCCATGTAAAGTATGATGTGTACCTAAACGATTCAAGTTGTAAACCAACATACACGAAAGGAGACTCTCCACCTTTCAATATCTGAAGTTTAAAATTTCAAATAGAGTTGTTTAGAATTTGTTTATCTTTTCTTCTAGTAATCAAGACTTTATTAATCTAAATACAAAATATCTTCACCTTTTCCCTTAATTTATTTACCAGTGGGGACCTCTACAATGCACGGATTTGGTTGGTATGAGAAAAAAAAAGATTCATAATTTACTAATATATAACAAAAATAGAATGACAATAATTACTGATAATTTACTAACCCATGCCCAATTTTACCAACTCAGGCCCAATTCAAGCTTAACTTAGAATCTAAGGCCGGACTTGGGCTTAGGCATATTGAGCTTTATAGCCCAATTTCCAAGTAGAACATATTGATAATATGTAGATATGTATATTACAAAATGTTGGTGTCGGTTCAAATTGGTCCACACTAAGCTTGAACTAATGAATATAACTGTTAAATTTTATAATTCTTAGTTTAAAAAAATATTAGTTATTAATAGTTGTAGGTACATAGTGCTCACTCAGGCCCTCAGAGAACATCAAACATCAAGATTAACACCGCAAAGTTGCATGCGAACAACCCACAATCAATCCCCATGCTGCGATGAACCCACAATACACTATCAACCTTGCGATGAACTCACAACACGTATCGTAAGAATCACGATAAACCTGCGGTCCATCGGGCCTACTTGGTACCCGAGCCAAAGGAAACCTTGATCGAACCCGTCCAAGGGCCTCAAGCCTATTCGAGCGTGCGATAAACCCACGCCCACCAAGGTTTGCAATAAACTGATGACTTATAAAATCACTCGTAACCTAGATCAAGAGAAACCTAGGTCGAAGCCACGACGAAGCCCACGTGCGCCTGAAGGCATGTGAAACCTACGACAGTAAAAGACGTAACGAAGCGTCATGTGGAGTCCGCGAAGTAGCGTCGGCCAAGCGATGATGTCACTACCGCCATGTCAATTATGTTAAACTGTGTAAAAGGTAGTAGCATATGTGAGTAATAAGGAATCTTGAGGAGAAGGAAAGCTAATCATCGGGAAGATCCTCATGAGACACGTGGTGAAACCCCAGTAGTGCACTTAATAATTGACAACGGATCCAATATTCCCTTTCTCGATACGGTACAAATACCCTCTTCTACCTTTTAGGATCTCGAGACTTCCCCCAAAAATAGAAGTCCTCTTCATATTGAAAATCATCAAATCCTTGGCATTTGTCACCTAGCACTCCCGAGTACTCTCATTCTCTCCAATTCTCCCATTTTCACATCCTTTATCCAAAAAACTCATTCCCTACTCACATGCCTCTCTCCATCTTTCAAAGAGACCATTCCCTAATTGCGCCTTACCCCTCCTACAATTGTAATATTATTAATTATTAAAAATATTAATAAAATAATTGATTTAATTATTCATGAAAATAATTATTAATTATTATTTTTTAATATTAATAAAAATAATTAATTATTATTGGTAATTAATTAAAATTTTGTTGGTTATATATCTAATATTAATTACTAAAAATAGTAATAAATTTTGGTAATTTTTCTTTAATGATGAATATATAAATAATAGATTTTTAATTGAGTTTCGGGAGTTTTTAATTAATCTTGATAATAAAGTAGTAATAAAAATAATTAATTTAATTATAAGTGGAGATAATTATTAAATTATAAATTTTAATATTAATAAAATAATTAATAATTACTATTAATTAATTAATTAATTAATTTGTTGGTAATAAATCACTAATTAATTATTACCTAGTTGCTACATGATTGTATGTAGCATGTGTTATGTAATCTTCTATATAAGTTTGGATGCATGCACGGTGTAATTTTATATGTAAGTCTACATTTTCATAAAGATAGTAGAACCTGAATCGAGAAACAAACAAACATGAAATTTAGCGTGGAAGCTCATGTTACTCTATAAGAAACAAATGACCTTTTTTTTCTGGTAGATTAAATGACATATAAATCTTAATCTATTCCGTCGCCTAAACCTTCAATTCACTTTGAACGTTTGATCAAACCCTCAAAAAACACCAAAAAATCTCATCTTTCAGCCCCAAAGCCTCCCAATTCATCGTTAAATCTGTCTGATACCTATCTGATAGCCTCGATCACCCCTCACTTACACCCCAACCATTAGATCATACACAACCATCTAACCCATGACCTCCCAAAACACCTACTCATAAAATTTCATCTCAAGATTCCTCCATTTACACCTTTATCAAACGAAGATTCCATTTTAACCTCTCTCGTTAGCCTAAACACCCACTACCCAGATCACCTTGATTCAAACACATTCAAACCAATCAAATCACACCTTTAAACTCTAGGTACATCAAAACAAGTGCTCATAAAATTTCACCCCCAGATTCTCTCACTTAACCTTTTATCAAATAAAGATTTCATTATAGAACATCCGATTGACCTAAATTCCCATGATCTTGACTCTCTAAGACTAATCAGACCTCGTCATCAGATCACATCCCAAAATACCTCCGTTTACCCTTTAATTGCACCAAGATTATATTTCAAGGTTTCAGATTGACCAGATTACAAATCTGCTCGATTTAGGCCCAATTGGCTCAATCCAACCTTACCAATCACCTCAGGCTACCAAAAAATCATATCCTGTGAAATTTCATCCAAAATAGACTTTGTTTGCCACTCAATCATACAAAGCTTTTGTTTTGAAACCTAAGTTAACCAAATTAAGCCCTTTTTAGATATATACCCAATTCGAGCCTATTTGGGCCAATTTGACCCCACCAATCAACTCCGAATGTCTAAAAACCCCACCTTATAAAATTTCAACAAAAAAGACCCTCATTTACCCTTCCATTTAAAAAAATTTCATTTTAACCAATCTCATAACTCATTCATACAAAACCTTTTTCAGCGGTCAGACCCATCAATCTTCCACCTTTTGACCTGAACCACCCATCATTGAACCAGACCCCGGTCTGCCTCCCATGGACTGATCCTGACACAAATTTACAAAATTACAAAACTACCCTCGAACTTTCAAGTATTTACAATACTGTCACTATGCCCTAGTATAAAGAGGAACTTATTTTTCCTATTTGAGGGAGGAAAAAGAAGGAGAGAGGGCACTGTTCATCATCTCTGATCTCCGTCGAACAAAGGAGTGGCGGATTAGTCTCCCACTCTTCGGTTTCT